GCTCTTCTTTGGGAAGCTGAGTGAGGTCGTTGTGTTGCTGCTGCCCAATGGCCTGAGTTCATGGTTCACTTTCCAGAAACTAGAAGGGCAGACAGTGGCATGTCTGCCTGTCATGAGTTTATTGGGAGGGGGAGTCTTAGATACTTTCAGATTTGCTCAGTCTTGTAGGAGTCAACTTTATGAGAGATAATGAAGAGAAGTTGGCAAAAAAGCTGGCTACACTGATTGAGGAGAAAAGCCAACTCATTGACGAGATTTGTGCAGCTAAAAAGGAGAATTCTGGCATGGAGACATCGGTAGAGAATGCCAGGCTTGACAGAGATTCATGAAATATACTTAGCCTCGCTGATACCGGCAGAAAAATGATGAGGGTCAACATGCGTTTGAGGAAGGAACTCAACTCTCTGGTCCAAGATTCCTACAGTCTAAAGAAGAAGAGATGGCAGAGATGCTAAAAGTGCTTAAGTTCCTGGAAGAGTTCGTGAGAATCCACATGTCCCAGGGGGCATTTTCAAACCATTCAGGGGACCAAGCACCAAGCCCTGTTAATCCTTTTCCCAGGGTTGGGCCAGGTATCAAGGACTTGCTGTTCCCTCCCCTCCACTCAGGCATCCATTTCAAAGGATCAACACCTGAGCTGCATTGAAGCCAGTAGAAGCAGGGCCAGCCCCTTCTTTTTCACATTCTGTTCCTCCAACTTCACATTCTGTGCGCAACAGTGACCTCCTCCATAGTTGACTTCTCTCATCTAAAATATATTGGAATTCTTACATCACACCACGAAATGATGACTTTTTCCTATATCTTCTTAGTGGTGAAAGGAATGTGGTAAGTGAGGGGAATCTTGCTGAGTTTGAATATTCATTAGGCCTGACCTCATTTCTCAAGAGAGTATTGGTAACTATTATAAATCAGTTATAGAAGTGAACTGTAAAAGTTGCTATAGACATGTATGGACACATTTTTTGTGGACCTTCTTTTCCCTTCAGTAAAATCCTGGGTGCAGGATATCTTGTTGGTGCAGAATTTGTAGGGTTAAATTAATTTTTCCAACATGTTTGTACCAGTAAAAACTCTCATCATTGATAAAAGAAAAAAAAAAAGAATAAATCCTGATCTTTCTGAAGACTGAAAGAGGACCACATTTGATGGAAGAATATGAGTTACTGATTTCCGTCTTGGACATGTGGAATTTGGGGCACTTTTGTGCTTCTGTAGTTTGTAGTAACAAAAGCCTGAAAGCAGCATGAAAAGTCCTTGGTGGGAGGATGACTAAGTAAATTATGGTACATTTGCTGGAATATCATGCAGTCTTACACATAGTTACAAGACTGTGAAGCATGTAGGACTCAGTGAAAAAAGTAGGATACAAAATTCAATGATAATTGTAACCCTGTATGAAAACATCTACAGAATAAGTACTGAGCAAGGGAACTATATTCAGTATCTTGTAGTAACCTATAATGAAAAAGAAAATGAAAACCAGTATATGTATATATATGTATGACTGAAACATGCTGTCCACCAGAAATTGACACACTATAAACTGACTATACTTCAATAAATTTTAAAAAAAAGAAAAAGTACTGAAAGGAAATAGAACAAATTTTAGCAATAATTCTGTGAGTGTGATAGATGGTAGGTGAATTATTTAAAAATTTAAAATTTAAAAATTTTTCACATTGTAAAAATATCAATCTTAGAAATTAAAATTTTTGTATCATATTTTTTCTTACATCATTTATTTGCAATGATCCTGGTTTATATAGTTGCTTCCATAAACTAATTTAACGGTAAGTATTTGAGATAAAATCAATTCTTTTTTTAAACATGATTTTCTTTTTTGTTCTAAAGTTGAACAGACTGAGGGGGGAGGGTACAACTGAGTGGTAGAGCACGTGCTTAGTCTTAGCATGTACAAGGTCCCAGGTTCAATCCCCAGAACCTCTATTTAAAAATAGATAGATAGAAGAAAGAAAGAAAGAATGAGTAAAGTCAAGTCTAAAGAGTGATAGGTTTAAAAAAGTAAAATAAAGTTGATGGAAATGTTAGCTATCTTGATTGTGGTGGTTTCATTGGTGTATACATCTATCAAAATTCATCAGATTGTACACCTGAAATATGTGTAGTTTACTGTACAGGAATCATACCACAACATAGATGTTAAAAATAAATAAATAACCCACAGAAAATTGTTAAAAATGAAATAAAGTAAGATACAGTTGAACAGATACATAAAATGAGTATCTCTTTGCAGTATCATAGCTGAATTAATAGGCAGTGCTGATCATCTCATCCACGTTTGTCTCTGCTGGCTTTTCCACCTGTTGGCTGTAAAGTGTGCAGAAGCACTGAAAGCATTTTCCTTTTCCTTTGCACATACAAACTTTTATAAAATGCTTCTAAATCCATACCAAGCCTAATTTGTGTCTTTTAGATTTACAGATACTAACTTTAACTTTGTGATGGATAGTATTAATGAACTGCCTATGTCCTTTAATATATAAAATTATACTTCATGTAAATCTACTATACTTTTGATTACGGATTTGCTCTAATATACTGTGCTGAGAAGGTTTATGGACAAGTTACCACATGGTATTTAGTTACACCTTAGGCAGTTGCTTGAATAAACCAACTTTACTGAATTATAATTTACATACAATAAAGTAGACCCATATTAATTGTATATTTTATGTGTTTTTACAAATGTATATACTCATGTAACCACCACAACAATCAATATGGGAAACATTTCCATCATCTCCGCAAATTTCCTCATGCTTAAAGTGTTTCCTGGCCCCAAGCACCTAAAATCTCCTTTCTATCACTAGAGTTGAGTTTTGCTTTCTCTAGAATATCACATTAAGGCAGTTATACCATATATACTTTTTATGTCTGGCTTTTTTCACTTAGCTTAATGTTTTGAGATTCATCTGTGTTGTTGCTTATGTGTCGGTAGTTCATTTCTTTTGTTGTTGAGCAGTATTTCATTTGTAAATGTGCCATTTGTTTTTCTGTTCACCAATTGATGCACATTTGTGTCATTTCCAGTTTGGGGATGTTAGAAAAAAAGCTGTCATAAACATTTTGTGTATATCTATGTATGGACATGTCTTTTCATTCTCATGGGTAAATAAGCAGGAATGGAATTGCTGGTTCCTGTAAGTGAATGTTTAGCTTTATCTGAAACTGCCAAACTGTTTTCCAAGGTAGTTCTACCATTTTATACTGCCACCAGCAGTGTGGGAACATTTTATTTGCTCCACATCCTTGTCTGTACTTGGTATTGTATTTTTATTTTAGCTGTTCTAGTAGGAATGTAGTGGTTTCTCACAGTGTTTTAAACTTGCATTTTCTGATATTTAGTACTGTTGAACATCTTTTCAAATGTTTGTTGGCCATTCATATATCTTCTTTTGTGACATATATATATTTAAATATTTTGCTCATTTTTATGTTGGGTTTGAGTGGTTTATCTTCTTATTGAATTACCAGTTTTTAATGTATACGTTGGATACCAGTTCTCTGACAGATACATGTATTGCAAATATTTTCCTTCTGTAGCTTGCCTTTTTATCTTCTTACTGGTGTCTTTTCAAAAGCAAATATTAAAATTTTTTATGAAATTCAGTTTATACACTTTTTTCTATTGTGGTTCATGCTTTCCTCTTTGTCTAAGAAATCTATGTCTTCTCCAAGGTTACAAAGATTTTCCCTATGATTTCTTCTAATAGTTTTATTGTTTCAGCTTCTATATTTAGTTTTGTGATCCATTTCAAGGTAATTGACTAGTATGAGGTAATGCTGAGGTTTTTATTGTTTTTTGCATATTGATATGCAGTTATTCCAGGACCATTTGTTGAAAAACAGTTTTTCCACCTTTGTCAAAAATAAATTATTAGGGTTTATTTCTGGCCTCTCTATCCTCTTACATTGATCTATGTTTCTATCCTTTTGCCAAATTCTATATTGCCGTGATTGTTGTAACTTTATAGTAAGTCTTGAAATCAGATGGTATTCCTCGAAACTGTGTACTTTTTCAAATTCGTTTGGTTATCTAGGACTTTCGGATTTCTATAAATTTTAGAATTAGCTTGTCATTTTCTCCAGAAAGCTTACTGGGGCTCACACTGAAATTCTATTAAATGTGTACATCAATCTGGAAAGATTTGAGTCTTCCATCCCATGAATATGATATATCACTCCATTTATTCAGGCTTTTTATCCTTACTCTCAGAATGTTATATACTTTCCCGTGTAGAACTAGTTCATGCATGTATTTCATTAAATTCATTCAAAATACTTCATGTTTTTGGAATCAGTTAAAAAAGACTTTATAAAATTTTGGTTTCTAATGTTTGTTCCTAGTTTGTAGACATACAGTTGCTTCTCATGTATTGACTTTACATGCTACAGGCTTGATAGTCTTGGCTTATTAGTCCTCCTAGCTTTTTGGTAGATTTACTAAGAAAACATTTAATACACATTTAGGAAATCTATCAAATTAAAATCTTCAATTTTAAAGTATTGTTGTGTTTAAAACCCAAAACCAGAATTAGGAGTAATACTATGTTTACAAATTTTAATAATATTAATCAGGAGGCTATGTACACTAATTGCTTAATTCTTGTAATATGAAGGAAATGAGGTGTGAGTTTACAACTGATTGGTAGGTAATGTTGGTCATTTTAGAGGTACAGTACCTGAGATAATCTTAGTAAAGAAAAAAAAAATCTGTTTTGTTCAATGTAATCTTACATAGCCTTCTAAATTTTGTGGGCATCAGAGCTGATGTAGTAGATAGAAACTGATTTTGGAGTCATAAAGACTCTACTGAAAGTCCCTACTACACTATCTAGGTAAGTATCTTAGCCTAACTGTACCTTAGGAAGACATAATTATTACCTCATGTCATGTACTTGTTTTAAGGAGAAAAATATAAAAACATCTAAGGGTATTTGGTAGGATTCTGACTATTATTTTTTTCTCTTTTACAGAAGAGGATAAATATAATATTTATTCTCCTTTGCTCTTCAAGTATTTCCTGGCAGAAGGAATTATCAGTGGACATACTTTGTTGGTTGCATCTGCAAAAGAAGACCCTGCTGACATTTTACAGGTATGGAATATAGTGATTCAATATTGCCTTTTGAACATTTCATGAAAAAAATTGTTTATATATATATATGTAAACAAGTTATATGTTTGTATATATGCAAACTATATTTAAATGCATTAATAGGACCACTTATTTTTTTTTCTTAAAGAAAAGCATCAAATTTATTTGAACATATAGTCTCATTTTTAAATTAGTGTTCTTGGATAATTTTTTAACTCAATTTATATCAGAAGTGAGGAAAATATTAATAAGCTATTAAAAACTACAAAAAACTAACAATGAAAAATTATTGTCATCATAATAAGAGAATGCTATAAAAAAAACTAGATAAAGAAAAACAAGTGCAGAATATTATCAGATATTATATTTCCAGTATTCCAAAGGTATAAATTAGAAGAAAGATGTAGAAATTAGAAGTACTCATTTATTAATATTTTTGCTTTCAGAATGCCAGAAATTATTCTCTTCCAAAAAATAAGCAATAATAATAAAATATGTGATTAAAATACTATGTATTTTTTAAGCCAAGCACACTTCTCTCCTTAGAGAGGACAATTCTGACTTTTAGAATTCTTAATTTCTCTGTACAGAACAGAAATCACTTTTAAGCCATTATTTGTTTAGAATTTATAATATACTGTCATTTTTTTCTCATAAAAGTTTTCATTTCAGTGTATAGTCTGCAAAATGGCAAATGACTAAGTCATTTATAAAGAATCTATACCATGATAAATACTAATTTACAATAACTATCAACAGAAGCCAGCAAATTTCTGCACCCATGCATAATAATTACTATACTACTGAAGTCAGTACTAACATGATTCTTTCATATGGGTCACACTTTGTTTATTAAATAATACTGTCATAAAATCCAAAAAGGAAACCTTTGTATAATTTTTCAAATGATTTTCTCTTGGTTGAAGATCCTGTTTTTCTTCATTCTTATTTCTGCTGTTCATCTTTTGTAATATCTTCTTGATTCTTTTGTTTCTTCTTTTGTTCCTTTTCCCTGGCCTTTATCATTGTGGTCAGTTTCTGAAAAATACTGTGCTTGCTAGGAGCAGTAGCAAGTAAAGGAGTAAAGGCCAGAATCATTCTTGTAAAGAAGCTTATAGATTTTTCACTGCACATTCCACAACATACTGAGCCTGAGATTTTATATCAAACATCTTTATAGCCATATATGAAATTTTTGCCAGGTCATAAGCAGTAGGGTCTGTATATGCTTTTTAAAATTGTTTTATTTTTCCTTCTCGCCTCCTCCAACCTAGGTAACTGATATTTAAACCCAGTATATATACTTCCACATTTTGCCTTAGAGAACTACATTTTTATTTGAAAATTAATCTCTGACACTTTTCTTCGGTTCCTTGAATTTGTACAAGTTAGTATTAAAAATTTCAGTGTTCTTTACATGTCCTTTTTGGGATTGTGTGAATGATTTTGAAATTATAAAAGAAATATTACCTTTTCATCAGACTTTGTTAAAATACCTAGTCATATATGCAAGTAATTAGATCCTGCAAACCTTTATTCATAGAGCAGTTTTATGGTGTAGTAGAAAGAATATAAAAATAGAGTCAAAAAACATAGACTTTTGTTAAAGTTGTACCTCTGACCAAGGTAGAGTAATGAGGACCAGATTTCTCATCATGTCTAAAACAACTGAAAAACAGGACAAAATATATAAAGCAATCATTTTCAAAACTTGGAGCATCACACAATAAAGGACATTGACTCCTGAGGTATGCAAAATAAGCACAGTTAGCCCTATAACTTTCTCAGCTACTACATGCAAAGTGTCCAGGCCATAGTGCAGGAAGGAGGAACTCAGGAGAAGTTAACCTTAGGAGACAGAGCTCGGAGTGTGAATTATGATTTCGTTATTGTCTTAATCTGGAGCCCAAGTATTATTTAAGGAGGTATGTATAGGAGCCAAGTTAGCAAGAGATAGATTTTTGATGGTTAATTTTATGTGTCAACTTGACCAGGACACAGGGTGCCCAGATATTTGATCAAATATTATTCTGAGTGTTTTCTGTGAGGATGCTTTTGGATGAGATTAACATTTAAATTGGTGGACTGTGTAAAGCAGATCGCCCTCTCTAATGTGGATGGGTGTCATCCAATCAGTCGAAGGCCGAGTGGAACAAAAAGGCTAATCCTCCTTGGTATAAAAAAGGATGCTTCCTACTGGACTGCCTCCAAACTGGAACCTCAGCTTTGTCTTGCCTTTGTATTCAAACTGAAACATCAGCTCTCTCTGAATCTTGAGCCAGTTGTCCTTTGGCTTAGAACTACATCATTAGTTCTCTTGGTTCAGAAGCCTTCAGATTTGGACAGGAGCTACACAGTCAGCTCTCCTTTGTCTCCAGCTTGCTCTGCATATCTGGTGACTTGTCAGCCTCCATAATCATTTGAGCCAATTCATTATAATAAATTTCATTAGATACAGAGATAGATAGACAAACAGAGACAGGTAGATAGATATATGTATATGTATACATATATTTATGTATGTGCATATATACATACATTTATGTATGTGCCTATACACACACACACACACACACACACAGTCTATTCATGCTGTTTCTCTGGAAAACTCTGACTAATACAATCTTACATTTAAAGTCAAAGAAGGCATTTCACATTTATTTATCAACCTATGTTGAATGATTATCATCTCACATCCTGTATCTTGGCCAGTTTTCTAGATAGGAAAGTACAGTAATCTTTCCATCTTTTTGCTTTCATACCTTTAAAAATATTTTTTAAAATTATGTATCCCCTTGTACACTAAGTTATGTGAAAATTTTAGTTATGAGATTATTTAGTTACAAAGGACATTATTGTAAATATTGCCTTTTTAGTTAAAGACTTTTACATCAGTCTTATAAATGTATTCAACTGAATCTAATAGCAATTTGATGTCGGTACCATTATTTTTAAAAGTATATAAAAAGCAAACTTTTCTTTATCAGCTGGAAATTTTACATTAGTCCTATTTTCCTTGAATTCATGTTTTCTATTCCACTCACTCCTCACAGAGTTTTGTCTGAATGCAGTATATTTTATGTTCAACGTATTTATTTATAACCTTTTGTTAGTTTTTCTATAACAAAATTTCATATTTGAATTTTTTTAAACTTATGTCTCAAAAGGCTTCAAGTGTTAAACACATTTCTTGTTTTAGTCACCATTACAATTATTATTGCATGCAGTGCATCAATAGACATAAAAATGTTCATACTACATTGCTTAAGACATATCAGTGAATAAATATTACTAGAATGAGACAGTATTCAGCATCAGCTCTATTCATATTTTTCATTTTTGCAGATATGAACTGTTCATAGTCAAGTAAAAATGAATAAAAGGACTTTTATTATTGTAATGTCCCTCAAATTATTTTTTTTACTTTTTCTAAAAGAAATCACACATCACCTATCAGTATATAATATTTTAAATTATTTTAAATTAGGTGATATTTTTAAATTACCACCTAAAATTTTGCTGAAAACAGTGAAAAAAGTATTATTTTCCTAGTCATTAAAGCATTCACATTTTTTCTATCAAAAAGATATTTTGAATTGTCTCTGTTTGGTACTTTGGAGCTGTTTATACCTGGGGCAATGAGAAGTAAATGTTTCATTTATAAAGTGAGAAAGAGTGATATGGAAGAGGAAGAGGGAAAAGGAAACTTGCGCTTCTCTCTTTGGCACATTCTCTAGGAGTCAGTTTTCACTAAGAGTATTTGTTAAAGTTGAAAATCAAGGAATTAATTCCCTTAAAATTCTCTTGATCATGTACCTCTTAAAAAGTCTTCATATACTTCCCGTTTTTGACAATTAAAAGTGATGGAAATAAGTTATACCTGATCAATATTAACTTTTCTAATTTTAGACTACCAAATGCCTGATATAATTAAATCCAAATACTGATGTAACTCAGTGAACCTGTGCTTAGCATCCCCAAAGTACACTAATCTGTTGTAGTTAGTTATGCTAATTATCATTTATTTTGTATCAACTTGAGAAAATATGTTACCTTTGGATTTTAAATATGTAGGGTCTTTAGATATTAAAAAAATAAAATAAAATAAGACATCCCAGGAGGACAAGCCAGAAGGGAGTGAACCTACAGAGAGTCTTTAGATACTAAAAATAAATAAGTAAATAAATACATACATATATACATGTATATATATAGGGTATATATATATGTGTATATATATATATATGTATATATATATATATATATATATGTATATAGGGATAACTTTTAAGGTACTGCTGCTCCTTAAAAAAATCTAAATGAAATTTATCTCAGGCAAAAGAGTTAAATCAGCATATTGGATTTAAATTTTCTTTTATAATTTTACAAATTATACCTCTGTAATGTCACATTACATGTCAATGCAGACTGTCATTAGAAGTAAGGAAACAAAAGAAGCCACCAATGGTATTTTTCTGTTATATTAAATATTATTTATAAGATGATTGTTTAAAACAAATTCCCATTGATTGATATATCCCAAGATTTTTTCTTTATAAGAAGTACTGTTGGTTTCAGTGTTGACACATATTTTACTTGACTTTCCCATATTTGAATTTTCACCATTACTGAGATTCAGCTTATAACAACATGCTAGTTAATCTCCTGGAGCTTAAAATTTTCTTACATTTCAAGGGAAATAAATGTTAAAATGGTATGACCATTTACTTTTAACATGTTAGAGGTTTCTCTTGCTCTGGACTAGCATAGTTTTTAACTGAAAAATGTGTTGTAGTGTCGTCAGATCTACTTTGTCTTGTGCACCTAGAATGTATTATCAAAGACATTATCATTGCTGCCACAAAAACCTAATGGTCTTAAATTTACTTTATATAACATTGCAGATTTGATGCTGCATTTTGAAAGTTTGTTTCATTCTTCTATTTATAACCAGTAGCCTAGAACAAATTGTTTTTATTTGAATGGCAAGTTTTCTTTAC